GTCTCAAGACTTAATAAATTAATAAATTCGGAAGAATGTGAGGCTTTAGTTGCTTTGATATCAGGTATACCAATATACGAAGAAAGTGCGGGCTTCGAAGAATCTTCTGAGATAAGATTAATATTAAAGCTTTCGTTTCGTATGGAGGTATATAAGTATGCTTGCAATGAATATATATATGATATAGAAAATAGCCGGATAGTCGTCTTGACTTAGTGTTAACTTGAGGCTTTTACAAGAATGCGTCCCAGCTCTGACGGGGTTTGTCACATGACGAATGAAAGCTCGGCACGTCTTCACCCGAAACGTTGGAGGAGGTCTCTTAGACTGTATCAAGCTGAAAGCCGTATTAATGACAAACGGCTGCAGTACAAGGCGAATCAGCGACGTCTTCGGATGAGATTACCTACGAATCTCTTCAGCATATACTCCCATACAAAATGAAAGTTCTGGTTCTGAATAGTATTCATGCTGAAGGTGAACAAGCTTCAGCATAATGAAGAAAGTATGAGCTGGAGCAGGGAAACTAAACGAGTTTTTTGGAGTTCTGTAGCCAATATGGAGATGCCAATTTATTGGAGGCTCGACTTGGATAAGCAACATTGACGCAAAGTCGCAATAGCTTTACGGAGAAAGTGTAGTCCTGTAGTTGATTACGTAAAGAAACTTTTTTCGAAGACTGGTTACTAGGTAGACGATAATTGAGGGCGACCATCCTTACACGAAAGTCCGATCGCTTTTTGCAATCACAGATGCAGAATAAAGAAGGGATAGCGCCCTAGATTTTGGGGCACAATAAAAACAGTTTGAGAAACTCTAAGAGTTTGGCATCCGTAGGAATAGAGGCTAGGTTGGCGACACGACGCTGTAGATGAGACGTAATTTAGGACCTATTCCGAGTCCTGTCTCCCTTGATAAGACCAGCCTTCGTTATTGCGCTATGTAATTTCGAGCAATATTCACATACCATTACAGTTCGCTATTCTTTCTCTCTTTCTCTCTTATATCAACGGTTTACCTTAGGTTCCTCTTGATTTAATATTATATGTTGAATAAATATAGATAATTTAGACATTTGTAGACAAATAAATTATATCTTATTCATAATCAGTTCACTTATTGCATTAATAATTCCTATAATAGGATTTTATGAAAATACTTAAGTTCAAAATATAATTATTTCAGTAAAACCTTATCCATTGTAAGTGATGTGGCCTACACAACACTTGTTATTATATCCGTACTCATCCTCAAAGATTAGGAAAAAAATGAATAAAGATAAAAATTCCATTGGCTTTTCATGTTTGTATTTTTTAAAAATTTAACCTAGGCTATGAATGATGGCATTTGAAAGGGACATAGTTTTAAGATAAACCTGGTAAAGGCAGGTTTCTCTTTTTATTTTTTTTATATAAGCATAGTTTCGAGAATATCAGTTATATGAGATGCATTCACTCTATTTTGTTTAAGAGGACGAAGGACTGGTAGTAGAATTTTCCCAAAATTATATGAGTAGAGCTGACGTTTCACACGCTGCGCTGTCGAACCGTGACAGTGCAGCATGTGAGCTTGAAACGTTAACCACTCAGCCACATTGCCACGAGTGCAATGCTGGTTTTTTCCATATCACATTCTTTTGTGGGAAAATTCTACAACTAGTACTTCATCGCCTTAAGAAAAATAGAATGAATACATCTCATATTACTGATTTACCGGTAGCCTTAAAACTCTGCTTATATACGAAAAATAAGTAATGCAGTCGATTGTTATAGCAAACATACGTTTGCTTCATCGACAATCTCACCAGAGAATGTGATATGGAAAAAGGCTGATTATCCTTGAAATTCTCACATGTCCTGTGACCCAAAGGCACACGAGGCAATGGGGCTGAGGGGTTAATTTGTCAAGCTTGCATGCTGCACTGTCACGGTTCGAATCCCACTGGGGATGTTGACCAAACCTATGCCAGGTCGAAACTGCAGTCAACCCTGGATAAGAAAAACCTTTGGGAAATCAAGGCTATGTGAAATTCAATGGAAAAGTCAGCCTTACTCATATCATTGTGGGAAAATTCTGCTACTAGTCCTTCATCACCTTAGAAGAAATAGGGTGAATGCATCTCATATTTCTTATTTTATTCTAAAATTTATGCCAGACAAGGGTAGAACACATTAGCATAATGGAATAAAATTAAAATTAATCATCAACAAATGTAGTTTTTACTTGATTTATTATCATTATTTGGAGAATTCTGTTTTTTTTTGAACCAGACCTCTTATCCATCCTGCAGAACCACTCGAATGTTGAGCTTCCGAAGCATTCTCTATCGTGGCATTCGACTACTCTTCTGGGCCGCATTTTTTTATTGGTTGAGAGGTATACTTTTGATCAATAGCCTTATCTTAACAATTAAGCCTCCAAGCACTCTGGCTCGTAATCATTTTGGCCTCACCAGTGTCCTGCCTTATACATCTAACGAGTCGTTTATAGAAGACCGATTTCTCGTAGTCAAGTACAACCGCTTGATGATTCCTGGCATTTATGCTTGGAACACTCTTAGTTTCTCCGTCATGCATATGATATTATATGGCCTGCCGACAGTCTGGATGGACCTTGAGCATCTACTTTTTAGGAAGCCCAAACAAGTTAGCATCTCTGGAGTTACGACTTTATCCGAGAAACAAGCTAGGCAAAAATGTATCTGGTCGGGAGGAGAAATCGAGTTCTCTTGCCTTGCCCCAAGTCAACCCTCCTGCTTACTTGGAGTGCGCGAAGCTGGGCAGATTTGGAAGTTAGTTTTCATCGATAATAGTCCTATTTTCTTATTTTTATATTGCTTATTTGTTATATTAGGGGTAACTCTCATAGTCTTTGCATATATTATTTAGCTACAAGTTAATGGTCTTCTTATTACTTGGCTTCTTTCGTTTTGTGTTTGGTATGAACGAAATATCTTTTCTTCTCCTATGCATGAAATTCTTTTGAGATCCTTTAGTCTAAAATATTTCCTCATATAGCCTATTTAAAACGATCATAATAGCAGCGTACTTATGTGAACCTAATTTATTATTGAACTTTACTTTGACTTCCGTGGCCAATGGAGCCAAAACCAGGGATTATTTTTATGTAGGAAAAAGGGGTTTTGAAGAATTCCCTAGCCATATATTGTGACATGACTTTCCATTTCGAAGGAAATGTTAGTTGGAATGAATTCGTGCTGTGGTCCCACTAGACACCGATGGAGAATTGCCGCCTATGGAAGACTAGTATTTTGTGAAGTAGTCCTCGCGTTATGGTCCTGCGACCCCGATGAACCTGTGCTAAGCTTTCATTGTACCACCCTGGCAGGCATCATCAGAACAAAAATCCATACTTTAGGAAATTGAGCCGACTGCAACCCTAGTCGCTTTTTGTATGCACCCTACCTTACGATATTAATGAGGCATTCCATGCTCAGATTGGCAACCTCAAACTTACTCGGCATGCTTGCTGATTAGTTAAGTTACTTCACGAACCGAAAGTGTGGTTCTTGACAGCTATTTCCTTACATAAATAGACCGATTTCATTTGGTCCCAGTCACCAGTTTTACTTAAAATACGATTTCCCATTTTCTTCAGCAAGCCTTTGGTGGCACATATACTGTGACCTCTCCAAGAAGAGCGCTTAATTACTGATTCCCATGCATGCAGATACCAGGTAAATTCGCAATGGACCATCTCTGTGATTCCACACATGTACCCTGAATAAAGTGAGAAAGTCTATCTCTGGTCTGCTACTGCATCCCGAGTTGATTTTTGGTCCATTTGCCTCCGATCTATTAGCCATAGTGCCGAATACCTTAAACAGTTGTGATTATCCATCCCCCCAATCCTCTGACCGCCAGACCCCAAAGTTGTAGTTGTTTTTTCGAGCAGACTACACTCACTGATAACGTCTTCACTTGATTTATCAATGTTCCTCGCCTTCTTATTCTTTGCGCTCCCTTTTTCCCAGTATAAGTCACTTTTCGGGCATCACCGGGCAACTTTCTCAAAGTGAAAGCTTTTCATTTCCTTTTGGTGGTTTGGCTTTGAGTTTGTATGAGAAAAGTATGCAAATCTTGGAGCATAATACAAATATAACTTTCATTTTGTCTGAGAAGGCGAGTGCGGAGAAGGCAAAAGTCTGGGTCAACCCTCCTTCGGTATCAGGTGAAGTCAATTTAGAAATCCCTTCGACCCGCCTTCTCAAATGAAATGAAAGGTATGCCAATAGCAAGGGATTCTTCGAAACATAGCTTCTCTTCCTAATCTTAAAGATTGTTTGCATTGTATCTAGTAGTTTAAAAAAATTGCTTATTTTACTTTTATAATCTTTCAGAAAATTCGACAGAGGTTTCTATAATTTTATTAAATGGTAAGCTATCTAAATATTTATTCATTCAATTAATCTTATTACTACTATTCCTACCACCGAGCGCTTTTATGGCACTCCATGATAGCTTCTGCAGCCATACCTAAATTTACTTGATTACTCAGTTTCTCTTGGGCTTTGTCATGCTT